TAAGAGAAGGAAGAATGTTTCTTTTGTTTCTCTGCTAATAAAGCTCTCCATATTACAACAAATATAATTAAAAAGAGAAAACATACAAAAGATTTTTCATTTCATTCATCAATGGCTAACCTATGACCTTCATCGGTAAAAACACTTTTAATTATTTTCATTTTCATTCTAATAAATATAAAAAAAATATAAATTGATATAATCACAATAAGCGCCTATGCTAATTAGAATTTAAGAAACTATATATGTAAATGAGATTTGTCGTAGCTGTTTCGAATGCAACCGCACGTGACTGATGTTTACGCGTAAAATGAAAATCAACACAAAATGAATGGTAGTTCACGTATGTTTCACGTGAATATGGATACACAGATGCATTACTGGATTGTGCATGAAACGAAAGAAAATTGAAAAAAAAACTCCACAAATGAAATAGTTTAGCATTAGAATTTCCTGATTGCTTAAGCTAAATGTCTGGTAGAGGAATCAATTCGGGCTAAGAATTGGAACTCGACATGAGATTTGGAATTTCGATAATCAGACATAACCAGCATTTTAGGCGATTATGAATACAAAAGCAACACATCTTCGTCATATTTATGCAATGTGCTTCCAATCCTCTCTCTCTCTCTCTTCATCCCTCTACCCCTTTCTCTGTCTCTCTTAAGCTTATTACTATTCAAGAACATTGTCTTATGAATGGTTTTACCTTATAGATCTCTCTCGGCTGTAATGCAAGATGCTTTTCCAAAAACGACTGGCGGATTTGCCTTTCGAATCTGTTGAACAGACAGTTCTCTCTACATCTCTTATTCTCTCTCATTCATTACTCGATAAGTCATCTTCTCTCTCTCGCAAACCAAAATTTCCTCCTCAGACTGTGTTAAAATACAAAAGATTGAACATCTATAGAAGGGCATAATCTAGTAGAGAGATAGATAGATAGATCTCTTTGATAAAGTAAAGAAGCTTCAATGGTTAGCACAAGCTTAATATTATAGTTTATATATTATATCGTATAGTAAATAAACAAACAAAAATTGTATTGTTGAAGGTGTTGAAATGATCGTTTTCAACTTCAATAATATCTTGACGTCATCTATGAGTTGTCAATAAAACTTTTAAAAAGAGAAAATAAAAAGAAGAAATAATACTTTATGCTGCTAACTATCTCAATTCAAAATCTAATTGAATGCTCAAAGGTGTTAGAAGAAGCTTATATATGATTGCTTGGGGCGGAGGAAGTTCAAAGGCAGACAGTATCTATGAGGTATGAAGAGAGTGGAAGAGAGAATCAAGTTGCAGACAGGATAAGAGGTGTCAGGCTTCTTTGAGCATGCCTCAACAAAAAACTCGAATTATCAGTTCAATATGCATAAAAAACTATAAAATGGGCGGAGCACGTGAAGCTTTCTACGTGTCAGAGGGCAGAAAGTATTGGTCGCAATCGTTTACCTGCCGTCGAAAATCAAATAGATCGTTTGCGTAAAATCCGGAATTAATACGGGAGAAGAGTTGAAGACTCAAGCAACCGGGCATAAAATAAATAAAAAAATGAAAAGAGTGAGCATATGTGAGAGACAAATTACAGGTTGAAAAGGTCGAAGAAGCATCTCGGTGAACTGATGGCATGAAAAAAGCGATAGAAAAGCCATTGCAAAGCTTCTGCCGTTCAGGTAACCGGAAACTCATATCTTATTAACGATTGTGCAAGAAAAAAAAAGAAAAAAAAAGAGGATGAAGAAGTTGAAAGAGAAAACTACACTTGAAGATGGAGAGAGGAGAAAACGAAATATAAATTTCATTCGACTTTGATTTGATGTTGAAATTGAAACATAGTCATTTCGATTGAAAGAGTATGATCAGATGTAGGTGTGGAATACCATTGTGAAGCTTCATCATTTCATGGCCATCCTTCTCTCGAGAAATGAAAGACGGACAGACTGATTGTTCGAAAAGATGAAAAGACGTCGATGCCGAAAATGGTCAATGCTGTAATGAAGGAGAAGCTTGTGTGCCATATGATGACTGCCATCACCCTCGTTACGTATCTGTTTTTCGTTCTATCTCTCAACCATTTCCAATCATTTTCTTACATGTATAGCAATATGCATTGTCTTGAGCTAGTTCGTCATGTCATTTCCAACTGTCCGCACAAAAGTCATTTGCCCTAAGGCTATAAGATGAAATTATATGTCCTTTAATAGCAATCTCATCGTCCGCACGTACCGTCGCCGTTGTCGTCGTCAATAGCACTTCGGCATGTCATTCGTTTTTATGAAAAAAAAAGAAAAAGCGGAGAAGAAGAAGAGGCAGAAAAAAAAATAAAAAAGCGACATGAGTGTCTCTAAGAAAAACAAATGAAAATGAAAGAAAAGAAAAGCTATCATTTACAGTCATGAATACATCTTCACTGAGACTTATTCTTTTATTGCTGACGCCAACGATGATGACGACGACGTTCGTGATTTTTTCCCTTCTTCTTCTACATCTATCGGCTTGCTTCTCATCATCATGAAGCCATCAGCAGCAATCATCAACCATCTTGCAGGTCAAAAGCTTTCAAATAAATCAGATTTTCATTGTTTTCTTTTTATGATCTCATGATGTTCTCAGCGAGATCTCTCTCTCTCTTTCTCTTTCTCTTTGAATTTCGGTTACTAAAAAAGAAGGGAAAATAAAAAAAAGTTGAATTGGCTGCCTTGGACATCATCATCATCACATCGAGAGTGCAGACACGATCTTCAACACAAGAACATCATCATCATCATCAGCATAATCATCATTCTTCATATATTGAATGGACAATGGATAACCCATTAACTATATGTACGTATAGTTAACTCATTCATTCTTGTATTGAAATCTAACAAAAGGAATTTCTTTCTTTAAAAAATGAAAAAGACGTTAGACCTCTGTTCCTGTAACTTTCTTATCAATTTTTGTTCAAACATACTTTTGTTTCTTTTAACAAAAGGTGCCAATTGAGCCTTTACTCTTCTTCACTCTCTCTCTTCCTCATTCCCTCTCTCTTACTTCACCTGACTACCTTTCTCTCTATTTCACTTGGAACTTTCATTTCACTATACTCTCTTCATTCTACATAATGTATCTATTCAATTCATTTTTGTCTTTTTCGCGATAGTTTCGTGTTAGGGTAAACATCAGCCGGTTTCTCGCCCCTCGGGCAATAATTCGGGAAATAAAAGAAAGAAAAGTAAAATACGTGAAAAGTTACACGTGAAACCTGGAAGAAACCTTTACATACGACCTTTCGCTCTCTCTCTCCCTTGATTTCCAAACAAACGTTATTTCTCCTTAATTTTTAACAGAAAAATGTTTCTCCTTTTTAAATATTTGCAAGCAAGTCGGAGACACAGACACATCTATCAGCTTCTCTTTGTTAGCATGTGTGTGTGAGTTACAAAATGAAAAATGAGAATGCAACCGCTCAATACGTCTAATGAATACTGAAATGAACATTACACGAAAATTCATTTGACATTAACTCAATGTAAAAGAGTTCCACGTGAGTCTTACGTGAAAAAACCGTTTAAGCACTAATCAATCAATATGTATCGTATCTATACAGTCACAGATAGAATCATCGAAGATGAACTTTTTCCTTCTTCTTCTTCTTTTTTTGTTTCAGTTTCAGAAAATGGGTGTGGTATTGTATGGGCTATTTGACCCTGAGGGCATTTTAATGTCTACTTGAAGAATGGAGGGCGGTTATGGATACAGTGTGTCTTATTGTATCATCTGATTGCCCTTTTCGCCATTCTTCCGTATCTGTTGTTGATGAGTTAATGAATTTTTAATTGTTTCTTTTCCTTTTCATTTAACATTTCTTATGAACTGGCTAAGCTTTTGATCACAAACCTGATTTATAAGCTTTTTTTAGTTGAATGCCCATTATGCGTATTGATTGATTCAACAAAATCACTCAAACACTCATTGGCTATGCGATACAATCAAAAGAAACAGAGAAACAGAGAGTATCGAATTCAAAACAAGGAAGGTGGAATCATGATAACAACAAGCTTCAAAGAAGTTCGTATTGACAAACAATCGGTGAAGATGAAATGGTATTCTGTCAATCAACCCTCAGCGCACATGTAACAACTGCAGCATGGGAACGGCAGTCTGAAGAACGTCTTCGAATACTATTATTGATGAACAGTAGATGATTATAAGAAAGTTGTCATGTTAATCAGATAAGCTGATCACGCTCAAATGCTTCAAGTAACTATACTTCTGTTCAAATATGACTGCGTTCCATTGAATTTGGAAAAGAGATATGATGTTTTCGTGTTCTATAATGGGCATTTCAAAGCAGACAGACCCTATCTACAACATCATAGTCATTTGCATAATAAAGAATTGTTCGATTCCTTGTAAGTTACACTTCTATATCACCTGCTAGTTCGCTTTATACGAGCATTTTCATCTGAAAGCAGATGGTATACTCATTGCTGTATATGTCATCAAAATGTTAGAATAAGCCAAAAGCTTTATCAATGCGACTAATACTCAGTCAGTAGGCTGACAGAGGGTTCGTAGTTGTTGTCCGAAGAATCTTCTCATACCTAAGCGACAATGCTCGTACCATTGTCTTGAGGTTTCTGAGCCTATGAAAGAACTCACTAAGCTATTCATCGTAAATAGTTCCTCTTTCGTTCAGAAGTTCGCAGAGTGTTAAGAGGGGTCTATGTGTGTGTGTGTGTGTGTGTGTGAATGATCCTTACCTTCGTCGCCAACTTGTTGTTTGATTGTTATTTGAGAAAAAGTGGGTTTTGAATTGAAATTACAATCAAAGCTATTGTTATTTTGTGAATAAATTATTTATTTTCAAATTGATTATTATTAGAACGAAGACAGCAGAGGAGGAAAAGATCACGATTAAGGATGTTAAGCTTACAAACAGTTTTCAAATGTAAATATTCTCGAACTTTTCATTTTGTCTTCCATTTCTCTTCTTCTTCTTTCTTCGTTTCTTTCTACGTTTTTGTTACAAACCGATTATACTTGAAGCTGAGCGAATCAGCAGGTTGGGCGAGCTTATTCCGTTCGTCTGAGGATTTTTGCTCCCTATAAGTAAAGAGAGGCGTGTTAAGCTTTGTAATGAGGAACAAGATGTGCGAGAAACCTTTCTTCCGGGCTTATCAGATCAGCTTGACGTCTATTGTATTTCCAAAAACGAGAATCTGAAGTTTACATAAATAATATAAAAACACTCAACCATATATTGTCAAACCGATGCTGAAGCTGGATGTGCCTGGTGGTCCAGTATGTGTATTTTCATATCGTCGAATCTCATCGAGTATGAAATCATCAGAAGCTTCATTGATTGCTTCAATAGATAGATTATGATTATATCAATGGCTATTCATTCAAACTCATACCATTTGTGGGCAAGTTGATTCCTTCTACAATGAACTTCCGTTATATTACTAAATCTTAAAGCTTATCCCTATTTACCTCCATTGATTTCATCTCCCTTCTGTAAAGCTTCGATTAATGCTTCCAAGTCCAAATCTCCATCACCTCCTGCTTCACGCAATTGACGTTCATGAGCTAACCGTTCTTTCAGCCGTTTCATCTGAAACCGTGGGTGTGTGAGACATTGCTGCGGTGACAGGAGAGAGAGAGAGAGATGCAAATGCGGAGAAATTCATTTTTCTTCACATTTCGTGTGCATATGATCGAGTAGATGACTGTCTCTGTATGATGTAATGAGCAAGTTCAGAAAGAGAAAAAATTTTTTTCATCTTGTCTTTTCTCAGCTTCAGCTTCATCTGAATTGATGGTCGTGTTGACCTTTGTTTAATCATTTTAAAATAGATTTCATGCATTTTGGAAGACAATCTTCTACCAAATTAAGTGAAGGAGGGAGAACAATGTTCTTCATGAAATATTCGTCCAAGATCAAATTCATCCATCTTTTATTTCTTTTTGTGTGCAGAACTCTAACAAAAATTAATTTTAAGATCCAATAGATGAGAATACCTTTTTGGATGTCATAGACTATGCTTAACGAAGAGAGCACAGAGATAATAGATCAAAAAAAATGAAGAAAAACATAGATTATTTAACCTTTTAATGCTCTCTCTCTGTTATACTCTCTTATGTAACTCTCTTAAATAACAGAACACCAAAACGATTTGTCAAACGTCAAGAACTTGATTAAAAATGACGTTTCAATGAAAAAAATAATATTAAATTCTAAAAGTATATGCGTAGACGTAGATGAGGATGAGATGAAAAGCTTCACGATGATGATGATGATGCTGATGCTGATGCTGGTGATGATGAGAAAAATAATTTTTAGTCACTTATGTCAGCTTCATATCTCATGTATAGACTTGTTCAGCTTCTTATACATCTACATGCTTTTGCTTTTTTTGTGGACAAATAACAAATTTCTTTAGCTTTTTTTTCATTTTTGCTGGTAGGTTTTTAAATGACTCGAACTATAGATGGAAGCATTTGTGAAGCTTTGTTAAAGAGAGAGAGAGAGAGAGAGAGAGGGAGAAAGAGAGAGAGAGAGAGGGAGAGTCATCATAAAGGTCAATACATTGTGATGCTCTACGTTAAGAGAACAAAAAAATCTTAATTATTATCCAAAATAATGTCTCTTTTGGAAGCCCATTGAAGAATTAGTAGTTTTTAGCATTCTTTCATAAAAATACATAAAAAAGGGCCGAATTGTTGACTTCAACAAGGCTCCCACTCACTATCGAAGCCCACCTCCTGGCTTCATCAAGACCTAAGAGCATAGTCTATCCCCCTTTCGTCATCATAACTACATCAAATTCAGTTCATTGACGGTCAGTGAGCAAGTATCGAGCTTGGATTTGTATGTTTCAATGATCACACACGTATACTACGAGTCATTGACGCACATATCCTTAGAGCACCTACCTGCAGATCGCGACGTCGACGTGATTCTTTGCCAATTTCTTCTTCTTTCTTTGACGAAGCCCACTTGTTGAAGCTGAACGTGTTGAATACATTACTTTCGCCCATTATATCTGAAAAATTATTCTTTTTTATAATATAAAAGTACATGAAGAGCTAAATTAGAGAAGTGTAAACATTCATTCAGCTGAAATTGTTCGGACAAAGAGTGAAGAAGAAGCTTCTTGGCTTGTCCCGTTGCTAGACAGCTTTATATGGAATTATTCATTTTTAGCTTTTCACCATTCCAATCTGTTAACTTATTCTTTTGATCTTCCATCCTTTTTTTTGTTTGCAAATTTTATGTCTCCAAAGCTCATCTCTCTATATCTCTACCACTCTCTCTCTCTTTATCGCCCTTTCTTGACATCTCTCTCTCTCTCTGCAAAGTCATTTGGCCAGCATGTGACCAATGAAAAATTATCCCAAAAAAGGAAATATCTCGAATGAAAACGTTTTTCCCTATGATGGTGGGAGTCTAATTAACTTCGTCACCGACAATGTTTCAGTCTTGTCGTAATTCAGGGAAAAAAAATTGGTTCCAAAGTTGAAGTAAGAGAGGGAGAAAAAGAGAGAGAAAGAGAGAGGGAGAGAGTTAAAGAGAAAGAATGTAACGACCATAACTAGAGAGACGTAAAGAGCGTCAAAAAAGAATAGCTCAAGTATGACATCAGTTATTTTGTATTTATAACTTATGCCATTTATAATTAACTATAACATGGCTTATATCTTACTACTATGAGAGTAGCTATTCCACTGGATAAATGATCAGCTTTTACAGCTCCAAAGCATATTTTCGACTTTAGCCCTTCTCTCTCTCTCCCTGTCTCTCCCTCCAATTCGTCCCTCCTTCTCTCTTCCTCTTCTTTATATCTCCTCTCATTGCATCCAAGAGATTCTTAACCCAAGCAATACAATATACTTCCTTCCAACTTCTTAACTATATTTTTATAATACAAATGTTTTAAATTCTCATTTATCTCATCATCATCGCTTCAAAGCTGAGATGAGCATGAGGCGGAGGAGGAATTTTCGCGCAACACTGCCTTGTGATATCAAAAAAAAAAGTATTCAAATACCAGCTGCACGTGCTAGTTGTTTCATTAAATGGTTGATGATGACTTTATTCTGCCCACGATGCTCATTTTGTTGACGTATAGGTTGGAATGACATGACTTGTCATGAGAATAAAATGATTAAACATCTAAACTGTCATCTAAGAGACAGGAGGCTTACAAGCTTCATCTCCTTCTTGCTGTATCTTCCAAAAAACAATATAATACGCATAAGCTGCATGTGTGACTGTCCAATATTTCTTATCCTTTCTCTCTATGTGTGTCTACGTGTTGCTATCCTCAATTGCTATGGTCATTTTGGCAATCTTTCATTTTCGTTTTAACGAATGGAGGCGTTTCCCATTTCGTCATTCCTCAATTTCATTTCAATTTCTGAAGATTTAAGCTCGGCCAATGTAGGCTTATCTCACTTTTCATTTTCATAACACTCAAACATATTCTTTTCATTTGTTTACTTTCAGTTAACAATGATGAAATGCGTTATTTCCCTGTTAGTATTCCTTGCCATTATCTGTGTTGCTGTTGAGAGCCTTACGCTCTATCGGCGAGTTCCATTACCTCCAGTCGATCGTTATTTGAAGGTATCATCTTATCATCATACACCCTCTTTATACCTATTTTTTCTATGTTTTACAGGAAATCGGCCAATCATCACAACTAACAGCAAACAAGAGGTTCACAGCTGATATGCTCTTTAATGAAGAAGAATGGCCACCTCGTTTTATCTGAAATGAATCATTGACCATGTTTGCGAACGTCTAGCTTTACGTTCGTATACGTCTCATCCATACGTTCTCACATTATTACTGTAATTGCAATGTCACAAAATAATAAATAAAGAAACATACAACAAGAAAGAGAATTTCTCTCTCTCTCTCTCAATTTATTATTATATTTTTTTAATATTAAAATATAAAGTTCAAAAATAAAAAAGTCTCAAGCGGAATGTTATGTCTATAGAAGGTAATGGAGTATACGGTATGATATTCAAGAGTTAACGTTCAACAGACAAATACAATTATTATTATATTATGCATTACGTCTTATAATCATATAATATACCCAATATAATATATTAAATACGAGAAATGATATTGGAAACAGAAAGCGACTGATTTGATCAATACGTAGTGCTCGTCGTGAAAATCGTTTTGATAACTAAATATACATATATTATATACATTTATATAATTTAATGCTAATTATATGATATAACTTACTTCTGTTGTATTTTTGACACGATCTTCTTGACTTTCTTCCATTCGATTCAATTGTTGCGTAAATTTCTTTAACAAATTACGATTGCCCGGTGGATTATCTGAATATGGCACGTATAGTTAGTATAGTTAGGCGAATGAGAATGCAACAGCTCTGTGTGTATGTGCTTTTACATAATATTGCGTTATTGAATTATTATTTTTTCGTTATTTAGTTAGTTCAATTTAAATGAGCACCTGTTAGCTTTTGTGTTTCGCCATTTACACGTACAACTGTCTCACACATTGGGCTGCGCCTTCTTTGATCTTCATCACGTATTCCAATAATTGAAAATTGTCGTGTCAAGACTTTCTCTGTAACACATGAAAATAGAGCAGTCAATGATAATGGAATGTTATTGTTTGCAACCTCGTCTATGTACATCATCCACCAATCGCTTGGCTCTTGTATCATATTTCTCGGCTCGTCTCATAAAGCTGTTAACTATAGCAAACTCTAGCAGTGCCAGAAATACAAATAGTAAACAGGCTTAAAAAAATAATTATTAGCTCCATATAAGTTAATTAACAGAATAATAATAATAATATTATATAGTAAATAGTAAATATACTTACTTCCATACCATATATCGATTGCTTTAGCATAACTGACTTGTGCTAAGCCCATACGTAGACCACTACCCTAAATGATTGAAAGCAACAGTTAGTTTCATAAAGCTAGAAGGAGATAACTATGTAAATCTATGCTATTTTCACTAGCTGACTTAGAATTTTATGCTAATTTATATATATATATAGTTTTATATTCTAAATAGATAAACAAAAATATGGCGAAAGCATACGGGGGGCATATCATACTGAAATGCTTAGTTCATTTCATTTTTTGAATATATTTTTAAGAAACAAACCAATGTTGTGAATGAAACAAGTGTAGTAAAGCTGAGAGTTACACGAGCAGGAACAGCTTAAAGAAATTTTCGATAGATGTAATGTGAGATCAAATGAGCTTACCTCGACGATCTATCCAAAATGATACCCATGAAATAATAACAATTAAACTTGTAGGAATATATGACTGTAACAAATTATAACCAATTGAACGTGATAAATAAATATTTCCTGATAGACAACTGAATTCATCTGTAACCAATGCTCTTTGAGGTTTGAATACTATGCTAACTATACCTATCTTGTAGCTGTTTGGCATTAGAGCATAACGATATGTTCCATTACAATACGATTCCTGAACGTTTGTAATGTAGAACTCAGGTAAAGCAATTTCTGGATTATAAGTGATAGGATTGACATCAAACCATGTCACATTCACTTGCTTTGCTATATAAGCATCTGTAACGAGGTCAAGCTTGTAAGCTTAAGCTGGACTTCCAAGAAACTCACAACTTAATGTTCTTATCGAACATATCTGATTATCCATTGGATAGTATCTATAATGAACATCTCTAATACGCTTTTGGCCCTTTGATGACACACCGTAAATCTAGGCTGCAAGCTACAGTCAAAGTGCAACGTGCTGAATAAGCGACTTGACCGCTGGGAGCAACGAACATATTGAAGTTAGGTTGCATCACTTGTTGGAATGTTGCATGTCGAGCATTAGCAAAATACAAGTCAGGTACCCTATTAAGGTTAGTTTGCTCAAGATATTGAGAGAGTATACAAGTTACCACAGATCTCTTCGTATTCGATCATCATTTATCATTACAAAGTCAGGTCCAGGATGCTTCAATCGTCTATCTCTCCATGACATATAAATATATAAATCAACTTCGAAGCTCTGTAATTGATATGTTGTCTATCATTCATAACATTCTGTAGTTCCACATTCTTTACCATATCGGTCGATTCGAAGTTACCCAATGATTCAATGTAGATTCCTAATTTGACATCCAAACTCTGATTGACTGAAGCAGTTGGCGGTCGAAGGCTTTGACGTTTCAAAAGTTCATGAAACGGTGTGAAGTATGCTATTGACAGCTTCATAAATGCTCTGAAACACAAACGAGCGACAGATGACATGGCAACAAAAATTGATTTTTGTTTTTTTTGCTCTCATTTTCGAAAACCACAAAACTTACAAAAGCGTGAAAAGCAGGAGCTTGTTCATTCTTCTCTATGTACTGTGTGTATGCGTGTATGTGTGTGTGTGTATCCTATAAATGGAAAATATAAATAATCAGCAAACTATACAGATTAGAGAGGTAATCAACCGTTTCGACAGCTCAAATGAATTGCTTGTAATACGTGAAGGGCGGTTTCACGTGGAATTAGCATAAAATAATGTTATGTTAATTAAGCTCAATTTCAATGTTATTGTTGTTTTGTATGCTAATGACTGATGGCCGCAAGCAGGATTTACCGATTCGACAACTCGTCGCAGCTACTATATGATGGAATGGCGAAGAAAAAATATTTTCTTGAGAAAGAAAAAAAGCGAAGCGTTAAGCTGAAGAGCAAAAGCTCTAATGAAAGGTTTCAGATGATATGAGATCATAAAACAGCATATTTCTGAATGACAAGTTGAAAGATGAAAGGCTGAGACAAAAAAAATTTATCCGTTATCCTCAACGTCTTTTCACGTCTGATTGGTAGAGAATGATAAGATGATGGAGAGAAGGATGAGACAAAAAGTGTATATGTCTGACAGGACTATGTAAGAGAATGAGCTGATGAGAAGCTAACTCAAAGATCTAAGAAAGAAGCTAATGGAATGTGGTTGCGGCTCGTGAAATGATAGCTTACCTCACTGTTAGTTATGATGGAACAACCAGTCGTTCCAAAAGTCAAAAGTTGTCGGATATAAGTACGAAAGCTTTGAGTGAAATTTGATACTCTGATGTCGGTTATACAATAGACGAATGGGTTGAAAAAAAAATGTTTTTTTTTGACATAAAATTTGAATTGAAAACAACTGTTTGATAGATTACGAGAGAGTTACATTAGATGTTTGTGATTTAGCTTAAGCTTCATCTATCTTAACATCATGCAAAAGTTATGACATCCATATGTATTTATATTTCTTTACCTAGGTGTTAAAGGATGAATTTGATATCTTCAAAATGCTTTCTATCAGTCCGAAAGGTGAAATGGAGGGCGGATAAGTGAAGGCGGTACCGAATAGACAGAGAGAGAAAGAGAGAGAGAGAGGAAGAGAGAGAGTGGAAAAAAGCAGATTGTGTGTAAAATAATAAAAAATAATTTATTGAAAAACTAAAATAATTCGGGTTTTTTCTATTTCTTCATTCCTCCAGTGAGCTGTACTTGAAGCGTGAGCATGCTCATCCGTTTCCGCATCATCAGCCAATTGTCTAACCATAATTGAAAATGTGAATAAGAACTCAACTACAATATAATAAACTAAAATGATTTATGATGTCATAATTTAAAAAAGCTGAAGATACAGAGCTGAAAGTGTAAAAACTAAAAAGTGCCTGAGGGCAAATGATAAGTTGAAGAGCTGTGAAAATGAGAAGAGAGCAACAATTACGTTACAACTCAAGGTCATTTGAACTCTTTTAAAACAAAAAAAAAATATGTTTCATAAAAAAACACACAAAGAGAAAGAGAAACAGAAAATATAAAAAATGCTTTATTACATGAGATTCAGCATGGCTTAAGGTTCTTGGCAATAGGGACAGACACGAGCAAAAAAAAACAAAGCTGAATGAGCTGAAGAGCACAAGAACACGTTAAAAGAGAAAGTTTGTTGAAGGAAAAAAAAAACATTTCGACCAGATGTCATTGATACCCAGATTTCGCAGAATATGATTAACTATACTAACTATACAGAATAACCGGAATAGATACAAATATAATATATATATAATATTTAAGCAAGTGAAAAACTCTTTTGACTAGATATACTTTAAGAAGTTCTTTTTGAATTTGTGAGAGAGATGAAGAGAGAGAGGGTGAGTGATAGAGATAGAGAGAGAAGGAGATGAGCAGATGATTTGACGTGTCATAGTTATCTCTCAGACATGCTAAAGGACGTCTTAAAGCGTTGACGGAAAATTTTAAAAAAAAAATCAAATTGAATACATAAAGAGTAATCAGAACATAAAACAGTTAGTAACAGGGTAAAGCTTCAAAAACTTAAGAGTTAGCAACAGCTGCCAGTGTTGATGATGTTGAAGAACGTACAGGTCGAGGTGAGTTCTGAGCCGAAGATGGTTGACGTGGAGATGCTGGCTGTCCCCAGTCTTTAAAGAAGCGGAAACTAAAAATAATAAATTTTTTACACATCTGTTGATCATGATGAGAAACGTACAATTTGCGAACTCCGCTATCTTTACGTTCATATTTCCAGGGATGAAGCTTCTCATCGGGTTCGCGAGGAAGGGGTCCATAAACAGGAAGATCCTCTTCATCCTTCTTCAACGATTTTTCTTCTTCAGGTTCGGGTCTGAACAAAAAAATATTTTCAACAAGCATCAAAAATATAACATACGTATCATCCAGCTTTTCGAACTCCTTACGAGCTGATCCGGGCTTGAAAACTTCTAATTCTTCTTCTAATTCCATTACTCGGCCCTAAAATAGACTTCTGTAAAAACACGAAAGCTGATAGACTAGTATACCTTCAAAACGTTCTTCTCTTGAAGAACTTCACGGAGTTCAGCTAATGTGAACCGAGGCTCATCATCAAGCATGTTAGCTTGCTGTAAGTCACGGCATGTTCTATTAGTTTCTTTTAGTAGTTTCTCTATTTGGATGTAAGCTTCTTCCGATTTTTCCAATCTACAACATAACATCTTATAAGGAAGAACCTCTTATCTATGACCAACCTCTTCATAACAGCAGTCTTTTCTTCAACGATAACTCTCCCTTGCTTTTGCAATGAACTATTTTTCCGTAAAAGTTCTTCATTCTGTCGAATAAGCTTTTCCACAGCATTTTGAAGCTGAAAAGAGTGATTCAGATAAAAGTTCAAATAGAGTATGACTCACTTGTTCGATCTCTGTCGCGTAGTGTTCATTATCCTTCTGGAGATTTTTGATTTCCTCTTTCTGTTTAACCGAACAATCTTTCAGTTCTAACATCAATCGAACATCTTCTTCTTTAACTGAAACAAGATAGGATATGACAATAGAACTAGATACATGATGCTTACAAGGAATTCCAGAACTCTCAATGATTGGCGGAAGTGATGATACAGTACTGGATAAGGTTCGATTCTCACATAATAATGATTTAACCATGTCTCGTAGTTCAGTAATATCTTTTTTATATGTTTCTTCTATTTGTTCTAATTCCTTAATTATATCATATAAACCACTATGTTTGAACATTATAAAACTAACGTCTTCAAATTTCGAGCTTTGTAATTGTTTTGTATGCTTTTCCTGTTCAAGTCGATCAATAGTCTTTTGTAATGATATTATCTCCTCATTCTCTTTATCATTGTTGTTAGCTAATGATTCTAATGTCTCTAGAGCTGATATAACCTATAAGAAGCAATTAACTATATGCAAATCAATTGAGAATCTATTACCTTTGGCATAATGCCACGAACACATTCATTGCCGTGAAGTTCAATTAGACGTTCAAAGTCTTTGCCTATTGAAGCTGCTAAGTCATAAACATCAACAACCTGCAAATGGATCAAATTAGTAATGGGCGATCCACATATCTCTCTCTCTCTCTTCCACTTTTTTAATGTAGAAATTTCTTTTTTTTTCTCTGTCTCTCTCTTTCTATGTAGATCTTGATGAGTAGAAAACGAATGCAACCGCTCTGTTACGATGATGACTTAACCATTACGTTATTTCTGCGAATAGTTTTGTTCATAATTTGGTCTTCTTTCCAAATTAACTTCATCTTTCAGACTATTTTATCCTTAAAAACTGCTTATTTCATTCTTTTAATGACAATATTGTTTCATAAACAAGCTTTTAGCTAGTATATGCATATGAGCTTTTGGTCTCTCGAAACGAACAAGTAGGAACATGAAGCCAAAAGACAATGAAATGAATGAAAAAAACCTCTAACCCTGTAGAGGCAGAAATGCAAGAAGCAACAAAACACAATGATATAACTCTCTAGAGACTTTCTAGATGCTAATATACATAAGGTAAATGAGAGACATAGAGATAGAGAGAAAGAAAAAGAGAGAGAGAGGGACAGCTTTATCTCAGTTTCAACTTAAATATATTCAACGATGCCGAATGAGATCGTTTTTTTCATTCCAAAATTGCTAGGAGAGTAGTGAAATAAAAAAAAAAAGGAAAAGAAGGAAATTATGGAAGAAACAAACGAATGAGAAGATAGATGAGTGTGACTCAAACACAACATTTCCATTTTCTTTTATTTTTTTTTGCAAAACTGACTGGAAAAATGCAAATGTGGCACCTGTGTGTGATGGGGTGGGTGTAGGTTGAAGCTTGAAGAGATGGAATGTCAGACAAGGAATCAAGTAAACGAAGGCAGGAATGGGAGAAATGAATGAATCAATTGAAGGTCATATGTATTATGGAAAGTTGCCATAAAACTACTACCTGATATGTGAAGAATGGACGTTGGATATCAATGACCATCATCTTAACAAAATAAAAAGAGGGAGGAAGGGAAGTAGAGAGAGAGAGAGAGAGAGAGAGAGAAGGTAAGAGAGTTGATAGAAAAAGAGAGAAGGCCGGAAGAGTTGACATCTGTACAGATATTAAGAGTAGAGTAGGGGGACGAAGACGATCGGATTACAAATGACACGAAAACATTGAAAAAAAACAAAAAATATCAAATTTCCATCTTTTTTTTTTGTTTTACTTATTACTCGTTGGAATTCCAAAAAAAGCAGCAAAGAAGAAGAGAAAAATGGAATATAGCAGGAGCGAGAGCGATAAAGAGTTGAATTGACATGTTGAACACGGCAATGTTTGCTGAATTCTAGTTGGATTATGGATTTGAAATTTAACAAAATTAAAAGAGAATACGACAAGACTCTAATGAAATGAAATGGCAGTCACTCACATACAACGAAAACAAAAAAAAACAAAAAAAAATTGAAAAAAAATAAATAAAATGATTAAAAAGACATACCGTTATGTGCTTGGATGGACTTTGCGGTGATTGACCGCGTTGGGCAATCATCTTATTCACTTCTGACGACGAATTGTGATGATCCAATGATTCTGCAATATATTCCTCATAGTAATGGACTAATGGTAGATTAGACATAATCATTTGAATAATTTAGGAAATAAGAGACATAGGGGGACGATGACGGAATGATGGCAGTGAAGGGTGGGGGGGAGGAGGAGAAGTGAGTGAAAGCCCAAAAAAGCCTTCAAACAGAAATGAAGATGTAATGTAAAGGGTAAAGGAGAAGGGGGGAGTTACATACACAGAGTCACTATTAGAATATGTGGAGAGTATTAGAGAAGCAGAACAACAATGTCAATTTTCTAACTGTTCTGTTCAAGACTTTCAGTAAATAATAGCTACTAATCGATAATAGTATCTCAGCTGATTCATCAGTTCCGGTTTTTGATTTCAAAAATGATTGTTGGTTGAAGAACAACTTTGCTGGAACTAGTAAACATTCATCATTATGATGCCCTTGACCTGATGATTAGGATTTTTTCTTCCTTTTCCAGTCTTATCCTTTCACTCTCTTCCCTTTCCTACACACCTCCGCGTGCACTTGCCTTAGACTTTGCAAGCTCCTTTCATTCACTTCTCTACTTCACATAACCATTCGTTACTAGAACGTTCCAATTGTCTGTCGTTAATATCTTCAGAGAATGTTTCTGTTCTGACGGCTCAATTCCGTTTGACAGACATCATCAGAACGACACAAGGAAGAATAACCTCCTATACTGAAATAGAGGAGAGCCCTCATTCTCTGGCTGCTTCGTTCTTTTTTTTATTCTCGTCTTTCTTTCCTCTCGGAACGTTTTCCCAAAACGATCTTTCTCGATATGGGCTTGGAGCTCAAAAATCTTGCGCTCTTTTCTCTCTTTCATCCTTCTTTTTCTCAGTTTTTCATTCTCTAAGCTCTTGTCTTTTGGAAATTCTTGATTGTGTGTACTTATTTCTTCCATATAAGACCATATGAATACACACAAACAGTCGGAAACGAGACAAAACAAGCAAGTTTGTGAGCTGGCTAAAGCTCAGAAGCCAAGTACGCATACTAACTCAATAAGCTTAGTTAAAAGTATTAAAAGTATAATACACTCAGCATATCCATGTAACGAGGACGTATATGTAATGAATTAGAAATTCAAAAAACAATTTCGAATGAACTTAGCTTATGAGGCAGCAGAGAAACGAAAAAAAAAGGGTGCAGGATGGTGGGGTAGGATGGAAGCGATGGGGATGAAGCTTTATTTACATAAGAGGCCAATCGTTATAAACTATGGATATGTCTTTCGTTCACAAGGATATTTTGCCTTTTCAAGGCATAAATAACTATTTGAAATCGAAACATACTTCAAGAAGAAGCTCATGCGTACAAACTTGAAACCATAAATGGTTTTGTCTTCAAGTAATGACGACATCACAACTACTAATTTACAAAAACAAAACAATTGTGATGATATGGAATAGAAAATTTCTCTTCTTCTTCTTCCTTTTTTTTGTGAAGCAACAACGCTATGACAGCATCGCTACAAACCACAGGCGAGCAGGACAAACAATGAACCGAATAAGGGACTGATTCAATTAGATGAGAAAGCTGACGACGACGACAAAATGACGAGCAAGATGAGATAAACGTTGGATATATCTTATGTTAACACTTTATACTATATATTATATCGTTAACTTATCATTAGGCATCAATAACAAACATCTACCATTATCTTACCTCGCCCTTCGTCAATCTATTTTTAGAAACATCAACATTGAGGACTAAAAAAAGAAGAGAAGAATGGACATGATAGAAAACAAACTTTCAATCGAATAAAATTCAAAAGAACATTCAGAGAATCATAGCAGAGTGGAGCTCGTGGTGTGGGATGGGGTGGGATGGAAGGGAGAAAGAATGGGTGGGAGAAAGGAAGGACGAGACTGGCCTTACTCAGATTCGTCAAAAAGAGCTTACAAGATAATGATGAAGCGCATCATCAAGTTAGACAGATGAATAGCTTTTCTTTGAGCATATGGAAGAGCTTACGAAATGTCCGGATGAACAGATTTAAATATGCAAATTAAGCGAAAAGAAAAGACATAGAGCATCAATACTATGTGTATATAATAAAGGCAAAGGAAATGGTGCAAAAGCGAAAGCACAAAAGGAACGATTATTAGTTGAACAGAAAGAAATTTTCATGGCAAATAAGGCTTAAAACTTATATAAAACTGCTTAAAAGAAAGTATTATTTTCAATTGAACACAGAGAGAGACAGATACAGAGAGAGAGAAAGAAGAAGGGAGGGAGGAAGCTTCACAAATACAAAATGAAAAACAACGAATTAGGATCTCTTTTCATTTAGTTGTAAATGAAAAAAAAATTTTTTTTGTTCTTTTCCTTTTTTGGTCATTCATTTCCATTTGTCAAATCGAAATGCGAGTATGAGTGTGAAAGATAGGAGATTTAAGTGGACATTTCAACATTGCACTGCACATAGCTTCACAGGGCCCTATCATCATATCATACAAGCCTTGATAACAGCAGCTGGACATTTGAAAACAAACAGCTGTTCATGTTAAAAGGGATGAATGGGCTATGAAAAAGAAGAAGAAAATTCATAAAAATTGTACAAATTACACGATAAAAAGTGAAACTTTTACATCTAAATCATGTTTGATAGGACAAGCGGTAGGCTTAAAGCTTATGCTTACAAGATGTCAGTCTTTTCAACTGTGAAACAGTCCAATAATGAGCTTCACAACGAGAGATTTTGTGAAGTGTTAAGCAGTAAGGATATAGTGAACTGAAATCCCAGAACGATGAAATGAAACCACAAATGAGAAGAAAAAAAAAGATTAGTTCATCTTCGTCAAATCCATTTCTATTCACATAGGGATTTCATTGGCATCAAAATGAGGCAAATTTCGCAAAATTTTGATTGAAGCCTTCATTTGCATATTCAAAAAAAGAATTATTTAAAGCTAAGAAGTAATTAATCATCATATATATATATATATATTGAATATACTATATACATATCTAAATAGATATGAGTTAAACAGTAGATGGCTTTATATGAAGCTGACGGCTTCACAGAAATGTATAGCTTAAGGGTGTCAAAACGAGTGAAGGACGAGGGCGTGGCGAATAGACAAGAGTAGAATTGGAAGCTTTTCTCACAACATACGAGTGGACCTTTTCGTACTCTCCACTGAGACTGAGAATAAGCAAATATAATGAAACATACAGAAGAAGAAGAAGAAGAAGAAATGATATGGTATAGAGGTTATAGAAATTGAATAATATAAAAAATATAAGAAAAAACTGACCGACAAAGATAATGCGAACAATATACGACCGCTTTGCGTGAAAGTTTAAATTAGAATGATCATGAACATGTTCACGTGGCTAGCGTGATAAACCTATGGCGCGCGCTATTTGAATATGACAACGTAGGCAAAACTGGGAGCCAGCTGAGGGTTGTAAAGTCATTCTTGGGATTATTATAACATATTTCAATTGTTCGAATGTTCCAAATCAAATGCCTAAGGGAACTATAATATGTACCCATAGCATATGAATAAGACTAAAGGACTTTCCTGCATTTTCCGCGTTGGACTAACGGAACTGAAACTTATGAAATATGATATCGATCGGCTGGCAAAAAAAAAACAAAAATAATTTTTTTGTTTCGAGAGAGGGAATGAAAGATGAAGAAGAAGAGAAAGAGTGGAAAAGAGAGAGAGAGAGTAGGCGACAAGGAAGAAAACAGCTTAAAGCAGTATATCACATTATTTACCGGCGTTATAACTCAAAAAAATAATTCAAACTTCTATTTATAGATATAGACTGAATAACATTAATTTTACAACAAAAAAATATCTAAATTTGAAATAAAAATGGATTATACAGCAGACGGATGGAAAAGTAGAAGAACCTAATTAGAAATTCGTAAGAGGGCCAAAGAGCACGCTCGTACAGCAGGGTCATGTGTCATCAGGAGATACAAAACACAAGAAAAGCTTCGATCAACAACCTTTTGAAGAAGAAGAAAACATGGCAATTTAAAGATTGTCTATAATTATGAGAGCGAGAAGTTAAAATCGGAACTTTAAATCGAATTATGCTAAACGGAAGATGGAAGTGCAAGAAGACGAACTAACAAGCCCGTCTATCTCGAGGGATCAGCCGTAATCAGAGTGAAAAATCTGAAATGTGACTGTGAAGATATGAAAAATGGTGATTGAAATTCAAATGCTCGAGCGGGAAATATGAAACGTTGACTGTTGAATTATGTGATAAAACTAACTTCAAATGAGCTTATCAGCGGGGGCTGCAGACAGTGATAAGAGAATTCGGTGAAAATATAAAGAAAATAATAAATATAAGCTTCATCTATTCAGTTCCTAACTGAAGACAATAACGAGTGTTTTGTAAGAAAAAAAGAGAAGCCGAAAATCGATAATGGGTTGTTCGCTGATCAAACTGGTCTCCTCACTATGTGACCATCAGGAAGACTTGAAACAATTCGACCAATTCATGAAAAGACCAAAAAAATGGATTTCGAGCAAGCACTTGAGACTCGATCGATCGTTCTGCTCATTTATTATCATTAAATTCCTTTGTTTTAATTTCCGGAATCGAATCTACTTTGAGGAAGTTTTCTCCTCCAAGACATTGACAAAGGAATTCCATTAGATGAACTTGAATGAGTGAGACATCTGTGATTGAACTATAATCATTTGACTATATATGGAAGAGCTATTTATGACTCCAGAAAAGGAAATGTGACGAAAGAAATTACTGGAGATCTGTCAAAATCACAGAGGCAATGATCAGTAGATGGAAGCACTTTGCGTAATGACGGAAAAGGGGTTAGTCAAAAAGAAAACGGGTCGATAATTCGGAGACATAGTAAAGACGGAGGGTACTCACACCAATCATGCTACTTCGTCTCAAACACAACACAATTAGCTTATAGATAGAACATATTTTATATGGACAGATTGCAAAGACAATTCATAATCATAGCTTCTCATAACAGCTTGGATGGGAAATTCTCATTGACCCAGATACACATATGGATGCTCTTCATCAAAAGCATTTTTTACAGACAAGGAAAAACTTTGAATTATTTATTTTAAAACATTTAATTCAAAACTCACCAGACGACATCCTGCGTTGCATTGAAAATGGCTTCTCGGCCCAATTTTCTGAATACGTAGTGCGCCGCTGTACGCAATTCGAGCTCAATTTATAATTCATTGGTAAATTTGTACTGTCTTCGCTCTCTTCCTTATGCAGATATTGATTTCCCATATTTGACTATGTTGAGCTTTACTTAGTTTTTACTCATTTAGAAAAGAACCATGTCAGCCCTTGGTGACCAGTTAGGTCTTCAACTTCTCCATGCCGCCAAGCTGGTTGAGGAACAAATTGACCAAGAGATGAGCAGGTACTTTGTTCAACATCATTATTTTTGATGAGTAATTTTGAACAGAATGGAGAATTTGGATGAAGATGATTTGGAAGCAATCCGCAGACGTAGAATGGAGCAATTGAAACAAGCTCAAAAGGATAAGAATGTAGTTTCTTGATGTGTTGAAGTTGCTGATGTAAGTATTTAGGAAATGCTCGTGATCGGACATGGAAAGTATGAAGAACTTGCTGATGAGAAAGAATTCTTCAAAGCCACTGATAAGAGCGCTAATCTTGTTGCTTTGTTTTATATTCCTGGAAACATGAGGTTACTCTTTGGCTTTTTTTCCCAACATGTAGATATCAATTGAAGATGCAAGATTGTTGACAAGCATTTTGAGAAGTTGTGTGTGAAACATACAGGGACTCGATTCGTCAAATGTAATGCTGAGAAGGTGACACTTTTGATGGAATATAAAAATATTTTGATATTTCTAGTTCCATTTCTTGACTCAGAGACTCAACATCCGAGTTATCCCCACTATTGCCATTGTGAAAGATAAACAAACTATCGATTACATTCGTGGTTTTGATGATATGGGAGGGATTGACGAGTTCAAAACTGAAGTATGACTGAATAAGTTTTTTTCATTTTAATTGGATCGTGGTTTAGGCCCTAGAAAACCGATTGGCCAAGTCCGGCATCATAACTGTTGAGAAGAAGAAAGTTGATCCACGAAAGAAAAAGACTATTAGATCTTGTGATCTCGAATATGATAATGAAGAAGATTGGTGAACAATGTTTCCAGCATTCCATATTTGCTTTTTTATGAGTTGATCGTCTAATGTGATCTCGTTTAACAAATCGTTTTGTTATGAAATTCAATGCTCTCATTCGAGACGTTAGTGATCGATTGTTTTATGCATAAGCTTGTATGTTTTAATAAAATTCTCTGTTTTTTTCTATTTTGAGACAATTTCTGTTCTCAGCTCAGCTTATTACCTCTTGAACCTTCAGATTTTATAATTTGTCTAAGGTGTTCTTAGATATGTGAAATGGCTGGACGCCGATCTATGGTTCACGATAGTTCCAGGATTTGGATGAACATCGGGCAAAACCAACTAAAGTAGGGAAATGAGAGTTATCTCAAAACAAAAAAAGTTAAGGTTCACCAAATTCTATACTCATCTTCCATCGTTGAATCTGAGGCATGTTGTTCATTTCGCTAGTTGTCCTTTCTCCGGACCAATAGGTTTTCGTTAAAGATCCATAGTAACAACCTTTCCCATTTGAAGTATTGGTACAATCCAAAAGTGATACATCATGGGTTGTTTCGATAAGAACAAGTGGCGGACTCGAACTGAAAGACAAAATGAACATACCCGACGTTTTCTACTTGGAATGGACGTATGGTACTAGCCAAAATCATTTCGAAGTTTTACGTAATTATAAGGGCATCGTATGCTGGTCATTGACCGAAGAGGGAAAGCTTCGGTGTATTCTGCGCTTGGAGAGTGTCTTAGTTATTTCTCATTCGATGCTGTACGTTTAATATATCTTGATATATCTAATAATGGTATCATAGGTTATCAAAGAAGTTCGAGATGCAGTGGTGTTTCAAACTACCCATGATTCAGGCGTTGCCATAATGGATGACCAGCAAAGACTTTTCGTTGTTAACTCTGTTAATGAACCTGTAGTATGGGGGATGCATAATCGTAAGATTCGGTTTGAGTTCTGTTGTAATATGCTTATCAAGCTTGCCGAGAGCAGCCTACAGCTTGGACAGTATTTCAACCTGTTCTCCAACTGACAAGATTAATAATCATCTTCGGACGAGATTTTTACTTGGGATGTCAAGGAGAACAGCTTGGAATTGTGGATACAAATTGGGCATTAACAGATGGCCAATATGCTAGAATAGTAGTAGATAAAACAAGAACGAAGTTGGCTGTCTATCATTCTTCTAGAACCATTCAGGTGAACTCTTTACTCTCTCAACTCATCGAAATTGTGCTTCAGGTTGTGGATTCTGATTTATCAACAGAACTGTTACGTATTCCTGTACCTGGGCAGCACGCGATTTTCAAGTTTGGCTGGATTGGCAGTGAAGCATTGTTTCTTCAAGCGACTCCAACATTTTTGCAAGTTTTCAGTGCTACATCAAAAACTGCTTGCTATGAGTATGTTAATCCGTGTGATTCATAGTAACACATCGCTTTTCAGAAGACAAACTGAAATCACTCAGATTGGTGTTGAGGATGACGGGCTAAAATTGTATACCAACAATGGGGTGGAATTTGTTAGTATAGTGTCTAGTAAGAGTATTTTACGTAACAGTAACCACGTTCTTTGTTTAGAAGATGAAGCTGATGTCTTGGGAGTAGCGTCGAATGCTGATGGAGCTTTACTCAATGAAGCTGCTCAGTTCTTACATGAAGGGAAAAGTCATCAATCTTATGAATACGTCATGCAGGTTTTCCGTCTTCAATTCCATTTGGTGACTTCGTTATTAGGTCCGCGATCTTGGGCAAGCCATTGATTCTTGTATAACAACAGCAACCTATTGTTGGAATTCCAGCATGCAAAAGGAGTTGCTCAAAGTTAAATTCGTTCTAATTTCATCAAAATATCTGTTGTTCCTTCAGGCTGCCAAATTCGGAATGGCTTTTACTACCGGTTACGAGACTAAGAAATTCACGAAAGTACTCAGAGACTTAAGAATTCTGAATGAAATTCGTGGGAAAAGAGTTGGACTATGTTTGACCTATGAACAGTGAGAAAAAGAAAGGGATCTTTGGGACCATTGAACTTGCAGATTCGAGAGAATGAAACCTTCATGTCTGCTCAACAGATTAATTGACATAGGATGTTATGGGATCGCCATCGAAATGTGCAAATGGTTAGGGCAAGAGTTCGAAGAAGGAATTGATCGTGTTCTTCTTGAATGGGTTCTTACAGATCTTAATTTTCTAAATTGAAATTCTGTTTGCTTTAGGTTCGGCGAACAATTACAAACGCAGCTAAGGAGAAGAATGTATATGAGATGGATATGGAGTTTCTCGATCACAAGATTGCCAAAAAGCTTGAACAGTTTCCCCACATTTCCATCGCAGACGCAGCGGAGAAAGTAATTGAAGCGAAGCTACCAAAGCTTGCCCGATTACTTATCAAAAGAGAAACTGACGATTCAAAACAAGTAATTCTTAGCTAACATTCAGTTCCTCAATGATCGCTATAGGTAAAAGTTCTCTTGCAATTAGGTGATGTTCAAGAAGCTCTGAACAGGGCAGCGGCTGCACAGAAGCCTCAGCTTCTCCATCAAGTAGTGAGACATCTCATGGCTACATCAAAAAAAGCAGAATATGAGTTAGTGATCAGAAAAATACCTCTGGTGCGTTGAGCTTTTCTCTTTCGAAGTGACAAATTTGATTGTAGGCGCAATGTCTTTACCAAGAACTAGTGCGTCAGGATGCTGGTTCAAAGCCTGGAAGACAAATGCTAGCTCTTCTTGAGCAAGGAAGTGATTTCGAGAGACAAACTCTTTATCATTTGGATTGTGCCTCTGCTGAGTTCAATGTATCTCCATTTTCTGAAACTTGATTATTCTATTTTACTTCTAGCCTAATGAACGACTGAACGCTCTGAGAAATGCGAAGACGAGTGCGCATTCGATGGGAGATAAACTGGTAGAAGAACTGATTTCTGATATGGTTGAAAAATTTTTTAGTGTGAAATTGTATTCCAAAGATTCTAGGCTGCTTTTGCTCCAAGTCAAACTGAAAGAGGTTTTGATAACTTGACGATCAGAGAAACTGTAATAGCTTTCGCTGCTGATTCCCAGAAAGTGGAGAGGTTGAAACACCAAGCAAAGCTGACAGATAAGCAGTACGGTTTTTGATTTTCCTCGCAGCTGCATGTTCCAAACTTGCAGAGTGTGGTTATGGACCATTGAAGGACTAGCAAGAGAAGGTAAAATGGACCAGCTGATTGTGATGTCTCAAAAGAAGTCCCCTGTAGGATATGTGGTATGGGAAAAATAGATCCCTTACCCTCTTAACTGATAATTCCAGCCTTTCATCAAAGCGTGTATGAAGTATAATAGGGCTAATGAATGCAATAAGTTTTTCCCAAAAGTTAATGGATACAATGATTTGATAGCTGCTCATTTGGCGATGAAGTGAGATCTTAACCTTCAGAAGTCATCTAACATCTTTTCCAGAAACTTTCTAGGTGCCGCGAAGATGGCATTCGATCGTCGGGATCGAGATATGCTTCAATTTGTTTATACAAAATCTCACAATAATAAAGAAGCTCTCAGCCAAGTTGGGCAGCTTTTACGATCACTTTGATTACTTAAAAGTGTTTTTTATCAGTTTTTTTCAGAAATATCATCACTGCCTTCTAACACGAGTCATGATTTATGTGATATGTTCATATTATTTATAAAATAAGTTCTTTCCTTGTTGTTTGTTCTACAACGAAGTTGTGACAACTTTCTCATACATTGCTTATCGTGCCCATACATATCAAATCATGTTTTCAGCTAACAACATGGCTGCTGCCCGTTTATGGAATAAAACAGAAATGCTAATGAATGGCTCCATTCGCCTTTCACTTTACAAATCTAAAAGAAGGTTTTGAATTTATATGCTTCTGCATTAAAGTTCATAACTTTCAGCAAATTGATGGTAGCGGTAGGAGACGTTCCAGGTCCGGTTGTGAACGGAAGCATTTCCTTCGGTAAAGCCACACACGTCTATTAGTTATGAAATGAGTTTTTTAAGTAACCGAAACCGAAAACGATGATGGGTTGCCACACACATTAGAACATTTGGTCTTTATGGGAAGTAAAAAGTAATTCACAGTCACAATTTGGATAATCATCGGAATTCTTTAAGATATCCTTTCAAGGGAGTTTTAGATGTGATCGCTAATAGGTGTTTGGCTAATGGAACTAACGCATATACTGACCAAGACCATACAGCATATACTCTCAATACGGTACTGTGATATTATGATAGTTAAGATTAACCCAAAATTCTCTATGAAACTTGAGCATTAATTGAAAATTTAGAGGATATGCTACTAATGAGTCTCACTTACAGGTCGGCAGTGAGGGTTTCTTCAAAGTGTTGCCTGTGTATATTAATCATTTACTTACTCCCATTCTTTCGGTAATATTCTTCTCACATTTTGTTCATTGAGTTATCTCCCGTCAGGACTCACAATTCACCACCGAAGTGCATCACATAAATGGCGAAGGTATAAACGCCGGAGTAGTTTACAGTGAAATGCAAGATTATGAATCTGAAATGGAAGACATGATGCTTAAGTTAGTTTTTTTGAATTAGCGCAAGGTACTCTGCTCATTACAGAAAGCAAAAGGAACTGATGTACCCAGCTGGTAATGCTTACAGGGCTGACGCATATGGGCGATTAAAAAATCTCAGAGACTCGTGCACAAACGTCAAGGTAATCGAAGTAAAGTAGATAACAAAGGATTCGAACATCTTAGGTGCGAGCCTTCCATGAAAAATTTTATCATTTGAGTAACATGATGGTAACAGTTTGTGGACGGTTGGATCACGAACGTCTACTGGCTATTATGGAGCAAATTGAAGAGGTGAACTAAAAAATCTGTTTCCAAAATAACGTACAGCATTCTAGGAGCACCTACCCAACTGCCCCGTCGATTTCCCACGACCATTCAACTTTGAACTGGTCGCGCCAACTGAAGCGAAAACCGAAAAAGTGGTTTGCCCCTCAGATGATGATTCTCGTGGAATAGTTGATATGGCTTGGTAATTGGATACATATTAATTAAGGGATAAACAAGTTTTTAGGTTCGCCCACAAACCCTCCGATGTTATTACTTCCGTAGCTTTGGAAGTTTTGTTCGACTATATGTCAAATACGCCGATTTCCCCTCTTCAAAAAGATTTTGTGCTTTTGGATGATCCACTAGCCAGTTCTGCCACGTTCAACGTTGATGAGCAAAATACATGCATCATCCATCTCTCCTTCAATGGCGTACCGACTCCAAAGTTGGACGAAGTTGCGAAGAAGTAAGTAACTCGGATTGTCTGTTTCATTACCGAGATGTTCAGGTATTTGGAGAAGACTGTTCCTGAATTGAGTGATCCTAGCGCTTTCGACATGGAGCGTATGGGATTCTTGATTGAGCAGTCGATTCAAAGTCAGATAGTTCAGGTAGAGAGTTGTTTTTCATTTCTCAATTCGATGGCATGAGTTTCAGACCGAGAGCAATGCTCATAGTGATATTATTGCTCATCTTATTGGATACCAACTGTTCGACAAAAATGATGATGATTTACTTATCAAGAGAATGGATCCCGTGAGTATAATTAGGGAGGGGATCTATTCATCTGATGAGCTTCAGGTTGCTGTCCTTAATGATTTAAGATCAAAACCTGCTTCTTACTGGGCATCCCTTATATCCGACTTATTCACTAAGCCAGCCATAACCGTAATTGGAGTTCCAAATGAGGATCTAGTACAAAAGGTTCGAAACGTGAAAGAATAATCCAAAATAAAGTTATATTCAGGTTTCTGATATCGAGCAGGCCAGGATAGAATCTCAGAAAACTAAACTAGGAGATGACGGTTTGAAGAAGTGTGGCGAGACTCTAGCTAATGCTATTCATGAGAACACAGTCAGTCCCCCCTCAGTCTATCAACAAATTCTGTCTGTTTTCCAGGTCAATAAGGCATCAGATGAAGTTTTGAGTCAGTTAATTGTAGAAAACCTGGAGAACTTCGATAGCTTCGATGTACAGAAGTTCAGTAATAGAGGTTTGCTCTCTGTATCAACATGTATTTATTTCTTCATCTCAGATTCGGGAAAAAGCTCTGATCATATAAACGCATTCTTAAATCAGTTCAAGTTCCCTGCTTATCTTCATAAATGTTCTTCAAAGTTTTTGGAAGTAAGGAGCTTTTACATCATGGCTCAACTATTCTATTCTACAGCTTTTCTTCTTAATTGATACCAGCTCTTTGACTCTCGAGCAGAGATCATATTTGCTTCTTTTCGCCGAGCTATTATTTGAATCACCAGCTAATATCGACGGCAAAACATGCTCGGCTGATGAGGTAGCCAAACTGTATACAAAGGTATGTCTACAATTATAGGATGTATTATTCAATGATTTTAAGGATTTGGTAGACCATTCTATTGAAGTTGGAATTTCGGGAGTTCAGGATAAGCTTTTCAACATTACTCTCAAGGTATTATACTAAATTTCAATCCGATATAACGTTACCACGACAGGTTCCTGCTAATAATAAGTATACGAACTTGGCAAAATGGGCCGAAATTTTCACGACTGGCATTATTTTTGATGTCGAGAGAATTAAAATGTGCGCTCTCAAATTGGTTAGCGAAGCTAAGGAACAGAAAAGGGATGGAAACTGTGTAGCAGCAGCAGCGTTGTGTTGTCTCACTTATGACGAAAGTCTTCAATTGTTTTCATAACTCTTTCTAAACCTAATATATACAGATAGCAATGCACATCTTTACGAATCAATTGTGTTGGAGAAACATCACGAGAAGATTGCTCAGATGTGTACCAGCAATCCTTCTGCTGTCCTTGCCGCAATGGAAGATGTAATTAAAAGTTTCATCTTAAATCGTGTTAATGCTTCTTTTCAGCTTCGTAAGGCTCTCAAGTTAGCAGGTGCAAATGTGCATTTTGTCGGAGATATCGATGCCATTGATAAGAGTTTGTTTGACCCATCTAAATGGGAGTTTGTGAATAACCAGAATATCCCTCAATATTCGGTATGATTATACCTACCTAACTCTCAATGTAAATGATCACGTTCTAGGTTGATGTTTCGGATTACGTGAAAGAGGATAAAATGGGCGTTGAGAAAGTATTTACTGTTGGAGGCTCAGAATCTTCTTTCATCTATCAAAATAGTGTCATTGACGTTGATTGGAATAGCTCTGACGTCATTCCGACTTTACTCTTCTCTCAATATCTTAGTCAGACTGAAGGACCTTTATGGCGAACCATCAGAGGAGAAGGATTGGCTTATGGGGCTGATATTTATGTCAAGCCAGATCGAAGAGTTGCTTCTTTACAACTTTATCGTTGTGCGCAACCTACTCAAGCCTTCGACCAGACTCGTAAACTTGTTGTATGTGTTGTCTTCTGATCGTCTTCTATTTATGAGCTTTAGATGGATATCATAGCAGCGGGTGAGTTGGATAAATCAGAGTTTGAAGCTGCCAAAAGATCACTGGTATTCGGGATGATGAAGAAAGAAGCAACAGTTAGCTCAACCGGAAAGCTTAGCGTTGTGAACACTTTGCGAGGCGTACCTCTGACCTTCCAAAGGTTTTTATATTCTTTTACTTTTTGAATTAATGCTTTAAAGAGAACTCTGCGAACAAATTTGGAACGCAAACGTTAAAGATGTTCTAGAACGCGGAGGACCCAAGATATTGACCTTATTCGAAGTAAGTACGAAATATTATTTTTTCTCAAAATCTGTTTCAGTCTCCTATCCGAGCGATTTCTGTGCATCCTCAAAAATTGAATGAAATAAAGAAGGGTTTCAGTCAGATCCAGTCAGCACCTCTGACATCCTTACAGTATAACGGTTCTACCAAAAGAGCTCATTCAGGAGCGAAAGCTCAAACCAAGAGAAGAAAACTAGATAACGAATTCTAGGTTTTTTTTGTTTCTGTTGATTGTTCTGTTTTCATTGTACGTTTCAAATACAAGATTGTTGTAAGTCCGATAACCATGTTTTCGAATAGTGGTATATAAAGCTTGAGTTCCTTTTTCCTTTCTTTCATAATTACTGTGTTACCTCTCGATGATGCAAGTGAGTACTAATTTGAAAACCTTCTTAATGCTAAACGATGATTGAGATATTGTAGGTAGCGGTAGATGCTTACTGCTAGAGAAGAGTGACGTTCGCCGAAATGAAAAGTCTTCAGACACCGCTGAACGCTCGTCGCACGTGAAAAATGAAACGTCTCCAGACATCGCTCAACACTCAAAATTAAACGGCAGACAGGGGCCCCATTAACGACGTGTGGGAAATGGTCATATATCTGCACCCGCATTATGTAAGGCGCAAAAGTCAGTGAAGACGGTAAAGCTCATTTTCCCGACATTGTGCGTGCTTCTAAACCTAAGTAAGAGAAAAATTAAAATAAATTATTATGTTCCGAAAAAAAAGAATGAAAGTCGTGGTGCTTAAGAAGGTTTGAGTAATGAACTGCAGAACAAGAAGTGTTGCATCGCTAACTGTAGGAGTCAATAGTTAATGTATGGAAGGAGATGTAACCAAGATCGAATCGAACATTCATCCGAATTGGAATTGCTTCCTTGTGAAGTCAAATTTTTGATTTCGAAGCGTGTGATAGATAGATGGAGCATCGAATACATGTCTATTCGCGTGAATCAGCATGAGATTCATGGAAAAAGCCGAGTATAAGGAGTGAAACATATGAAATTGTCAGTCACTGCAGAAAAAGAATTAAAAAATATGTGAACCGAAAAAAACGAGTAGCACAAACAAAACATTCAAGCACATGTGTAATCGATATGTTATCGAATGTTTAGGATGTTGAGATCATAGGGGATAAGTCACGGTTTCACGTGCTATGGGGAAATTACCGTATCTTAACACACTCGCGACCGCGTGTACTCATTTGAATTTTGAAATGAACTTGGGCTAGACTGCAGTTGGAAGTCGAATACATTCAACTGCGATTGGCATTTTCTCGTGTGATGATTTTCAACTTCGATTGCGACTTTACTTTTCCTGTTACTGTTTTTTGGGATTCATCGAAGTTGATTTCGTGATAGGGGATGTCCAAGATATGGGATCATTTTGAAAAAAATGCGCATGAATACAAATGCAAAATTTGCATGCAGTCATTCAAGCTGTCGAGTAGAAGCTCCACGAGCAACTTATGGACTCACATCAGAAGAAAGCATGGGATGAATAAAAAGCAAGAAAAAGTTGATCAAAAAAAATTATCAACAACGGGACCGGAAATATCGAGATATGCATAAAAGCATTGGCATCATTTAGTAAGTATCTCATTTTTGATAAGCAAGAGTGTTTAGGTGATTGTTATCGATAACTGTTGTTTAATCGACGTTTTTCTAAGCAACGCAGGCATTATATTTGGAAATAAAAGAAGAGGAAGAACCATTGGCCCTACTGCTAGAAATCTACTCACGATAGCTGCTAACACACGCTCTACGGTAAAGAAATCATATACAAAGAATTGGGTGGAAAAATACATTACTCCAGGTGAGGTTAAAATTTAAAAAAATAATGAAAAAGCTTTAAGATTCTGAAGACCTATTTCAAGAAGAAAATCTGCTCTACTCAGATATGCCAGAACTAGAAGAGATGGAACTGATGCAAGAACTTATTGATTCTGACGATAATATCCTAATTAAAACTGATATGTCTCAAATTATAGAGTCTCTTGACACTGGGGATGAATACTAATAAATCAAACAATTTCTTGCGTTTGTTAATTCGCTCTAATCAATGAGTGCAGTTGACTGCAGTTGAAAATCATCCGCACTGATACGTCAGAAGTTGGAAGTTGAAATTGGTCAAAATGCTATTTTTCGCCCAAGTATATTTCGAAATTAGCTTTACGCAATTCGCGTACTTTTTCAAAAAAGTAATTTTCAGTATTTTATCGAACTCTTGCATTTTTTAAAATTTTCATTGTTTATAAGGATAATTTTTGATATGTATACGAAAAAAATTCAATTTCATTAATTTTATTCGAGTGGTTTACAATAGTTCTGCATATTTTTAACATTTTTCCAGATATTATTAAGAAAATTGTTCAAACCCTGGTCTGAGCTATATTTTATACCGCTTTCATCGAGAAGTTGCCGCGTTTTCTCAATTTCCTTCATAACCGTTTTCATGCTCTTCGACAAATTCCATCAAGATAGGCAGTGTTGACCAGTGAGTGCCCAGTTGTTTTCAAAAACATCGCTAAAACTTTGCGCCTTTTTTTCAGAAATCTGGAAAAGACATTATTTTTTGAATGGCATTTTTTTAGAAACCTCCAAGTCAACGATCCATAATTTCTCTTGTTCATCGGTGCCCTAGTTCCCGTCATTATCAACGAGGTCGGTTAGGTAGAAAAACCAGCCGAGAAATTTGAGTTTAATGATTTGCACTCCGCTGGGGTATCTTACAGAAGCTTGTGCAAAGCCAGGAACTGAAAAAAAAACATCTCAGGTTTGTGCTAGTTATGAAAAAAGACCATCATTAGTTAATATATACATGCCATAGATTGACCCGTGTAAGTTTGGTACAAAGCAGCATTTTGGTCCTATGTTTAAAACTTCAAGCAGCTCATACCTGAAAATCTCATAGAAAAGTTTTCATACGATTTTCAACATACTCTTTAGATCTGCGTGAAACAGTTACGATCAAAAAAGCAATCACAGAGGAAGTATCTATGATACTGATAACCCTACTATGGAAAACTCAGCACTGGTATCCTCTGCTGATACATGTAGCGAAGGAAGAATCAATGATTCTGAATCATCCATAACTCCTCACAAGCCCAGCAAGGATACCATATCAGTAGTGTACCAGTTTTTGTTGACTCAAAGGGATGCCGCCAAGCCACGCCCCTTCTTAATTACCCCCCTAGGCCACGCCCCATTTTAATTACATTTTAATTGACTTGAATTCAAATTAATTCCATGCGTTCCATGCATTCCCTCTTAAGGATTCCCGTTCCATTCGGATAGTAGAGACAAATGGGATGAGTTAGAATCAGGAAGCTAGGGCTTACTGACACCCAGGCCGACTCTATATAAGGCCTCATGAACCAGAGTCGAGTGAGACTCTTCAGCTGTCATCTATCCCTCTCATCCTATCTTTGAGAACAAGACACGGTGTCCTCCTGGACACTCGTTGTCGAGTCCAATGTAGAGTTCTCCTAGAGGAATCTCATCTTGAGACCTCTATCCTTAACATCTTATATTATCAGTATTACTCTATGTGTTGATCATGTGTCCCTTGTAGTTGATACCTTGAACTCAGTGCTATGTATGAACCATGTATACTTAATATATTCTTATAATAAACATTCTTATATATACACGCTGTCCTAAGTTACATTCCATTCCTCACCTACCGCTACACATAGTCAGTTGACAACCCCTCATAGGGGTGTCACCGATGGTGAGGTGTAACAACCCTTTTAAGATGGAAGGGAGAAACTTTAATGGAACGTTAGCTTTAGCTGCAATAAGTAATAAATTTTTCGCGGTTCACCCGTCCAATCGAGATCTGCGTTTGTTGCCGTGGATTATCCCTGCTGAGTTAAAAGTAACGATTAAACCTATACCAACTTTTGCATACCTGAACAACCGCTCTGAGTCAACCGAAGTAGCCGGACATACTGAAAACGAAACAGCGAGCTTGTCCAAGACGGGAAATTCAAGTTTTCTGCTTTCTCTTTCCAATACAATAGTAAACCTTCTGGACGGCATAGAACTGAAGTTATAGAAGTTCTGTATGCTTGCAGCTCGTCCTGAAAAGGAGTATTGTTTGCTGTCCTCCTGATATTTTCAAATCTATTCCATAAAGTGGAAGCTGAGGATATGGGAAGAGAGACAACTTCTACAACTGGCTGTTCAC